TTATCATCATCATCATCAACATTGTCATCCTCATTAACATCATCATCATCATCATTATAATCATCATCATCATCATCATTTTTTAAATGATTGCTGTCATTCATTGGTCTAATACACCTAGTTAGCAAATAATCATCTTCAAAAGATTGTAATTATAGTAATCCAATAGATTTAATAACAAGTAACTGTAGTCCATCCTACCTTCAGCTATGTTTTTCCATGATCTTATTAGCTGCCTTGCCTATCACAACACACAAACACAACGTAAGCTTACAAGTTCCATCAACTAAGGGAGGTAGTTTGTTATCAAAATTAATTGATGATAAATTTTAATAAATATCATTTTGCAATAAATTGTTACCTTCTTTCTTGCATGGCATTTGTCGTACCACTGGTAATATACCTAGAAAAAATATTGATAATCACACAAGGTTGTAATATTTGAAATGAAATCTCACAGAAAAAAAAAAACAGTACTAAATGCAAACACTAAAACCATGAAGCGTTACTTTAATAATTAAATAGTGTTAAATTGTTCTGGATTATGTGAATTTGCTGAATGATGTGAATTTAGGTTAGAAACACATTCCCAATGAGAAATTGTTTAAAGCTTTTCACAATTCAATTTCCAAACCTTTTTAAGTATGCACTTCATGTGATGTTTTTCTGCCTTTGTTGTTTGAGTGAACTCTCTCCAATCTTTGAAGCACTCCTTTACCAAAGCATTGTCTTGTTGTTGAGCATGGTTGGTGGCAAGTTGGGAGTGCACAAACAATTTATGCCAAAAGCTGAAGCTTTGTTTCAGCTATTGAACAAGAACAGAAACATGAGAAGAATTCTCCATTTTGCACCACTTTGAAAGGCCATTTTATTGCCTTAGCACTATTATCACAYTAAAGATAGGCAAGAAATTATAGATGATGTACTTGTAATAAAAAAAATTAAAACGTTTGTTCTAGATAATGTTGACATTTTAGTAGTTTCTTACTAGTAAGCTTGCACATGTATTCTTCAAAGTGGTCGCTTTATCTTTGTTTTTCTTGGCTGTATGGCAAACCTCTTTCCAAGACAGCAAGACACTGGTATTCAAAGGAACCATATTTAGGTATTTATAAATTTTAGTTTGATTTTACTTTAAATGTCATTGTTGTAGTAACAATRTAATACTATATGTTTGATTCATACAGTTTATTTCTGCTAGTGTTTTCATTGTCATTAATAATAATTATCCTCTTGCTATTGTCTGTCATAAATAACATCAACAAGTTCTTTCCAGGCATTAGCTAATAACAGCAGCAACCACAACAACAGCAACAACATAACAACAGCAACAACAACAGCAAAAGCAGCAGCAACAACAGCAACAACCACAACAGTTACAGCCACAACAATAAC